ATTCATCCATCCACCCATTCATCCATCCATCTATTCATCCATTCATCCATCTATCTATTCATCCATCCATCCATCCATCTATTCATCCATCCATCCATCCATCCATCCATCCATCCATCTATTCATCCATCTATTCATCCATCCATTCATCCATCCATTCATCATCTATTCATCCATCCATTCAGCCATCTATTCATCCATTCATCCATCCATCCATCCATCCATCCATCTATTCATCCATTCATCCATCTACTCATCCATCCATACATCCATTCATCCATCCATCTATTCATCCATCTACTCATCCATCCATCTATTCATCCATTCATCCATCTACTCATCATCCATCTATTCATCCATCCATCCATTCATCCATCCATCTATTCATCCATTCATCCATCCATTCATCCATCCATCCATCCATCCATCCATCCATCCATCTATTCATCCATCCATCCATCCATCCATCTACTCATCCATCCATCCATCTACTCATCCATCCATCCATCTACTCATCCATCCATCCATCTATTCATCCATCCATCTATTCATCTATTCATCCATTCATCCATCCATCCATCCATTCATCCATTCATCCATCTATTCATCCATCTATTCATCCATCCATTCATCCATCCATTTACTCATCCATTCATCCATCTACTCATCCATCCATCCATTCATCCATCTATTTATCCATCCATCCATCCATCTATTCATCCATCGATCTATTCATCCATCGATCTATTCATCCATTCATCCATCTATTCATCCATTCATCCATCTATTCATCCATTCATCCATCCATCCATCCATCCATCCATCTATTCATCATTCATCCATCCATCCATCTATTCATCATTCATCCATCCATTCATCCATCCATTCATCCATCTACTCATCCATCCATTCATCCATCCATTCATCATCGTACATACATCCTTTTCAATCTATTCATCCATTCATCCATCATATACTCATCCATTCATCCATCCATTCATCCATCCATTCCTCCATACGTACATACATCCTTTTTTTTTAATCTATAATATACACACACACACACACACACACACACACACACACACACACACACACACACACACACACACACACACACACACACACACACACACATTATCTCTAATCCATCAGATCAGCTCAGCTCCTGTCAGCAGGTCTGATGAGAGGGGTCTGGGTTGAACTTTCAAAATAAGAGCAGCAGCACTGTAAGTAGAAATCTGCTATGAGTGGCATGGCTTTGTTCAGTTCACTGCAAAAAAATGAGTTACCATGGCAACCTGCCCAAGTAAGGTCCATGTGTGACCATATGTCAAAGCGACGAACAGGAAGTGTGACACTCAGGTCTATGCACAAACACAGAGAGGTATAGGAAGTGAAGTGGAGAATAAATGAGATGAATCTGTTTTATTTTGAATCTGTGCAGCTGACGTGTTGGCTACGACACGGAACCAGGAGTCCACCGCCGACTCCGCCTACGGTAAGAAACCTTTCTTCTTCTGTTGTTAGTGTTGATCAGAGAGGGCTGTGGGTCCTCACAGTGACCGTATAAACATGACCTTTTGTGACCTACATATGCAAGCGGATTAAAGGTGTGTGTAAGGACAGGCCACAGGCCACAATATGAGCAAATACGTCCTGTTACCTTCTGCTTCTGACGCTAATGAAGGTCCAAGCACTGGATGACTTTAAGATTATTCAGATGGGAGTTTGAGTTAAAACGTCTGTCAGCGAGCGTGGAACCTGGAGGACGTGACTCTGAGCAACGTCATCATCTGCTAACGAGCTCCGGCTCAACCGTTGACGTACAGTAGCTCGTCGCGCGGTTTGACATCATTACCCTCGCTAGTTCCCAGCCCCACAGATCAAACGCAGCTGCCTGCTCTGTATTCAGGCTGCAGCTCGGCTGCTACCTGCCTGTCAGGAGTCCTGCTGGGAAGCCGGCCGGCGTATTGTCATTCAGAGCGCCGGCAGACCCACGCAGTGAATCCATTAAGGCTCCCGGAGCTGCATTACTGTGATTAAAGCCGGAGAGGGGACAGGCGTGAACGTCGCTGATAGGCGCTCTACTTGACATCAGCCGACTTCGTCTTTCAGGAGTGCGTCAAGTGTTCTCGAGAGGCGGCGGCACGTCAGCAGCCACAATAGCAGTGATGAAATGGAGGAAGGTGAACGGAGCGGGTCACCGTGCTGCGAAGGCGACGGGGAATCAGGAGGAAGTGAGGAGATGAAGGCGCGCATAGTAAAAACATCACAGACGTAATCAGGTCTGACAGGCCGGCTGAGCTCCTGTAGGCCATGCCCTGTAAGCGACTGCAAGCCACTTTGGAGCCCACCTCCACCCCAGCTGTGCTCATGATGTCACTGTTTGATGGCTGTGATATGTGACTGAGTTATCACCTGCGTGTGTGTGTGTGCATGAAGCTGATATTAACATGTATGAGCCATGTGTGAGTCTCCAGTGGGAACTTTTCCTCGTTCACACGTCAGCCTCGGCGTGTCCTGTTTGTCGAGTGAAGCTGTGTTTGACATCAGGACCTCGAGTGTGACGAGCAGCATGTGAAACGTCGGTTTTTCTGAGCTGCATCCATGTGTGTGACTTTTGTGCACGCAGCAGTGCGAGCGTGATGCTGTGTGCACGCCGGCTGCGCTCAGGTGTTTGTGCACTTCAGCTCCGCCCCTCATTTGCCTTGTAAATCGGTGAAACGGCAGCAGGAAGCGAGCATAAAGCCGCAGCCTGCAGTCATGTAAACGCCGGGTTAGAGAACAAAGACTTCCCCATAATCAATACCCGTGTGCAGGCGATTAGCCCCAACTGACTGAAATGATTGCAGGCGTAGCAGATGCGAAGCAGCGGGGACGCTCCGACGTGCTCGCAGGGATTCGTCTCCTGACTCGAGCTAATCGTATCGTCATTAACTCTCCTTTCAGTTTCAGGGTTTATTGATGCCTGCGGGGATCGCACCGCAGCTCGATAAAGATCCAGGGTGACTCTGTCCGTGCTCGCCGCCGCACCCGTTTTTCACACTCAGTGTGTAGCTCTGATTGTAAGAGAGCTGCTGCTGCTGCCCTGGTGGCCTGATAGCAGGCACCTCCTTCATAATGGCGTCTGAACCATTAACTTCCTGGTGTCGGGCAGCCGGGCGTGAAGGACTCAGACAACAATGAATGAGTGATGTTTGAGCACACGTTCATCCACAGCGCCACGCTAGAGTGGCTGTCGTTACTGTAATGACATCGTTTTGCAGGGAACGGTTCCCATAACGACGTTTTCTCTGCAAATTGGTTCTTTATTGCCGTGCGACGCAGCCCCGTGGACTCGCTGTGGACTCGCTGCACTGAGATTGGCCTCATGCAGCAGTGCGCTCTTTTTATTAGAGGAGCGCCGGTGTTCTGGGAATCCATCCTACCTGACAAACCAGGACGTTTTGCCAAAGTAGGACGATTTGTCAGAACACCGGCGCTGTGAGTCGTGCAGACGCCGGTGCTTCCTGGGTGACGTGACTGCGGTTTGTGCGCATTCCTGATCGTAGGACGGCCGATCCAGGAAATGAAGTTTGTGCTGTTAGCGTGGGTCCGACAGACCGGGCTCCGGTCGGAGCTCACACACCTGTCAGGCCGACAGGCGTCACGGATGATGATGTAAAACCACGAGAACGATCATCAAACTTCTCAGCTGCTGGTTTGCGATGTCAGTTTGTCCTGCTGACGGGACACGCGTGAACTCGTCCTCACCGAGAAGCGAGCGCCGCGATCGGCTGCGGACCCAAGCGGTCTGAGGGGGTTTGTGCTGCCGCAGGGAGGAGATGGCGTCCGGCGTTCTTCCATCTTTTTAATGACATGAAAGAGAGCGCTGACATTTAAAGGACACTCGCAGCTCTGACCTGTTCAGTGTCTTATGGTGACATTTGTTTGAAGGTTTTTCAGAGATATCTCAGAATCACTTCTCTGATCCTCCAACTGCATCAGTGGCTCCCAACAAAGACTGTATATAAAAGACGGAGGCTCACCTGCAGCTCTAACACCTGCCTCCTGGCTCCTCCCTGTATCTGAAACCTCGCAATATGTCCCCCATCAAGCTGCGCCTGTAGCATGTCAGCTTCTTAGGATGGGATGGACGAACAGTACTCACAGTATTCGGGTACTCAGTACTCACAGTACTCACAGTACTCACAGTAACCCCAAATTGCTCTCCGATGCATCCACCGGAGTATGAATGTGGGTGAATGCAAAAGTTGTGTAAAGCACTTTGAGTGCTCAGAAGAGTAGAAAAGCACTATATAAGAACCAGTCCATTTACTCAGGTACTCAGTACTCACAGTACTCGCACTTCTCTCAGTACTCAGTACTCACAGTACTCTACCTGGTGCTGTGAGTTTCTTCAGCAGTCTGTCTCTGTGAGATCCGCAGAGCTCACAGCGCTCACCTTAACCTGTTGCAGCTGATCATGTGACATCTGTTAGCAGGGGCGGGGCCTCAAGCTGTCTGCTCAGGGGTCACATTCATATCACCATAGCAACGCTGTTAGTGATCACACACACTTTCAGCCTGCATCTCTGCTGTAGCTCACAGGAGCGTGGGAGGTTGTTGTTATTGGGAGCTGCTGTT